GAGAGAGAGAGAGAGAGAGAGAGAGAGAGAGAGAGAGAGAGAGAGAGAGAGAGAGAGAGAGAGAGAGAGAGAGAGAGAGGTTACTGGTAGAGGTTACATTGGGCACTGTGCCCACGATCTGATCCGACATTTTTTTTTTTGTGGCAGACATTGATTGGACATTCGGCAGGGGACTATTTTTGGACTTCGCTATCGCGATCTTGGTCTTCTCCCTTGCCTCCATCTTTGTCTCGCCTCTCCCCCCATCTCTCATCCATGGTATCTCCCTCATGCGCGTGTGCAAGGAGGGACCTTTCTTCTGTGTATGTGGTCCCTCCGCCCTCTCGCACATGTGTGGTGTATGATGGGATGTCACGTCAGTATCAGACAGGTCAGGACATATCTTTGAGTCTTCCGTTGCGCTACATTGTGCTCTTTTGTATGCATCTGCATGTACATTGCTTGTTGATGCTTGGCTGACATCGCATTGTTCATTGAACTTCATTCTTAGACTAGTCCTTTTCATCACTTTGCGGATCCTTGGCTCCATACACATTGCCCAACTGGGCATGCATCAATATTCTCTCATAGTGCGTCTGTGTTAGGTGTCTGGTGGACACATGAACCTGACTTCTGTGCAGCCTACTATGGACCACCGGCGCCGTGTAGTGACGTCACTCGCTCCAGGGCAGGGATTGTTCACTTTCCAGCATGCCCGGCGTCGCCGATGGATTCGCACATCCAACACTCATCAATACTGGTCTTTCCCCAGCTGGATCTTGTTGAAAGCAGGCTGCAGGCTCTGAAAAAGAAGAAAGAGAGAAAAAGCAAATCCTCAAAAGTCTATCAATGTAACGGTAGCGGGTCCACCTCAGCATACTCACTCCATGTGGGCCAGTCACAGATCAAATGGAGGTTAAGACTTTTGTTTTTATAGCTCTTGTTAGAGAAAATATTTTATGACCTCAGGGGGCGAGGACCCACTAGCGAAGTATTCTAGTACGATGTGTGACAGATTTTTTGTATTTTTTAATGGTTTTTAAAATTTACGTGTGTTTTAAATGAATCAAACAAAATTGATTTCTGTTATATTTCTTTTTATCGTCGATTTTTTTGTATCTGCCTCCCACGGTGGAGAAGTGCTCGCCGCGTCAGACGGGATCTTTGGGAAAGGACTCGAAGGAGGGAAGCCAGCCTCCACTCAAGGGCTAACCTTTTTCACGTGGACAACGAAGTCGGCGGTGCAACTACAACATCTTAGCAGCCCTATACAGATGATGGCGCATACCCTGTCTACGTCCCGACTGCAATAAAACCACCACGTATGACGGAAAGAATGTAACTGCCCGCAATTTATTTATTTATTTTTTTAGCACGGCAAGGCTCTTTGCGCAACGCCTCAAAGTCTTGAAAACACCCCCCCCTTCCAAAAGTCTGGAAATCCAGACCAAGGTGAATGTTTAATATCAAAACAAAAATCTAATAGCAGCCTCGTCATTGGTCGGCGTTTTCTCATGGACACGCCCACACACTGCATCAGGCGGGCCCGTAGATGCGAAGTGAGATGTGCGGTTCCTGTCTGTTACCTGCCTCCGCACATAATCGAAAACGTCAACCACATCGGTAGTGGTTCCAGGCCCCAGGCGAAATGCAGGAGATAGATACCTCTCTCTCTCTCTCTCTCTCTCTCTCTCTCTCTCTCTCTCTCTCTCTCTCTCTCTCTCTCTCTCTCTCTCTCTCTCTCTCTCTCTCTCTCTCTCTCTCTCTGTCTCTTTTCTTTTTTTTTGTGCTGTTCCCTTGAAGTAGCAGTTTCCATACCAAGCCAAATGATTTTTTATTTGTTTTTAAAGCTGGAATCTTGTGGCAGTTATCTCTGCTGGTAACTCCATCTGCAGTATGGCTGCGGGGAAGGGGAACGGAGGTAAGCTTGGGGTGCACTCGCTGCAGATGGCCTTTCGAGTCGACTAAGCATCTGTGGTGGGAATGCCCGGCCTCCAAGCGGGTCTGGGAATGGTGGGCTACCCATTGGCATCTGATGGGAGGGACGGGGATTGAGTGGGATGAGAAATGGGTACTGCTAGGCTTTGTTTCAGAGGATGCGACAGGACAGAGAGGTTGGCGATATGTAGCCCAGGTGGCCAGAGCAGTAATCTGCTGAGTCATCTGGGCAGACAGGAATCGTTCAAGATTTGAAGGACGGCCCTTCTGTGACAATGAAATCAAGACATCAATCAAAAGAGGCATGAGGCAGGCGATAGAAGTAGACTGGAGGAGGAGGGCAAAGGATGGAAAGGCGAAGCGCCCGATGCTGTGGTGGTTCCTGAAGACCTGGACGGTGCGGAATCAGCTGGGAGGGGTACAAAGTAATGAACGACTGGTCTTGTCCAAGTGGTTGCTGAATTCGTAGAATTAGGATGGGTAATATAGGCTGGGGGTGTTGAGTAGGTAGTTTTGGGAACCAGGGCATCTCGGTTCCTGGTTCGGACCGCAGGAGGTCAACAAGGGTGGAGAGGGGAGAGTGCCTCGGTGTCTTGGAACAGAGGTTCCAACCGACCGCTATAGGCCGGTGTCAGGCCAACCGACCGCTATAGGCCGGTGTCAGGCCGTGTAGGCCTGTGGAAGTAGTTTAGATGGTTGAAATAGGGTAGGAAGCTAGGCTACCAGAGTGGCCCGGGGCCACTTGCCCGCCCGGGCCAAAAAAAAAAAAAAAAAAATAATAAAAATGAATTTTTACTTTATTTTTTATTTTAAAATTGGTAAAGAATTTCGATGTGACCCTGAGGCAAAAGTTGTTCAGGTTACTTTTCTGCATAACATAGTTTGTTTTGGGATTTTTCTGATTTTTTTGTTTTTTGTTTTTTTTTGCTAGGGCCTTCCCTGGTCCTTGCACGGCCGGGCCGTCCGGGAAAATAGGGTGACCCGGGCGGCCCGGCTGGTAGCCTAGGTAGGAAGAATAAAAACACAGAAGGAGTCCTGCCTGTTGTAGATTAAGTTGGAATTTGACAAGTTGAAGAAATCACTCTGTAGAGGTTGTATGTAGACGACAAACGGAAGACGGAAGGATGTAGTTCTGTGCTGTGCAGTCCGGAATATTGCGATGGTGGGTCCAGCCCTGATTGCTGTAAGCGAAACCGGCTGATGCTGCCGGGATAACTCTGGGTTGAATTGTGAGGTGCCCGGCCTCAGGTTTTAATGTTGGAATAGAATATGGAATGGTTTACAAAAAAAAAAAAAAAGATTTTTTTAC